TTTTAAAATGACAGCTGCTAATATTTTTCTTTATTTTCTGTTTTCAGGAAGGACTAAGCCTGGCATCCCTATTGTGGAAGTTTGCCAAAAAGCCTTCATGAATGTGTATGCCATCACTGAGAAGAGAGTTCGGATCCAGCGAGAGCGTCTCATTGTTCAAGCTCAAGAACTTGCTGCTGCCAATGGCGACAGTCCACTGCAACCCATGGACACCCTTTCGCTTCTTGCATCTCGTACTGCACCAGCCAAACTTCAGTCTCGAGGTGGAGAAAACTACTACCAGCAGAGTAGAAGTCAAGAAGCGTTTGCAAGTCGCCTTGCGTCTTTTGGCAAGACCAACCTCACCATTACACCATCTCGGGTTCCAGCTGCTCCAATGACTAATCCCCGTGATCTTATGTCTAAGTTAAGTGACCGAGACATCACTATGGTGCCTGCTCATGCCTATGGCTCCCTGAGCATTATGCCAATGAAGCGTGATAGCTTCCCGCTCAAGAATAGTTCCACTAATGGAAAAACAAATCGTGATATTACTATGATTCCTCTAAAGCATGAAGAGGCGTCAGAGGAGCCTACAGATCTCTCTATGCCGACTGATTTGTCTGTACGGAAAAGATCTATGGCTAAGGACCTTTCTAATCTCAACATTCCATCAGCTACATCTATAGTGCCAGTTGTGTCATCAGCTCCCAATCTACCAGTAGATCTGTCAGTCAAGAGCTCAAGACCAAAGATTCAACCTAAGTCAGAGTACAAGTATCAACAGTATCCAATTGCCAAGAAGTACAAACCCGATATAGTCAAGAAACAAGAATACGAGTCAGAAGCAGAAATGGATGGTGATGAAATGGACGAAATGGATATGGAACCTGGTACTGAGGCAGGTATGGATGGGGACATGGCTATGGAGCAGGCTTATGAGCCGGAAACTGAATCTGAAATGGAGTCAAGACCTGGTGCCACCCCGGACTCTTTGTCAAGTCATTCTGTGCATGCTGATGACAGACATGACAGCTATGTCCCTCGGCCTGAAGCTTTGCCATTCTTCTTCCAGCCCAATATTAATGATATTGCTATGGTCAACTCATTTTTCCTCAATCAACTATGGCAGCCTGAATTCATAGACACTGAATTGCTTAGAGAATACCATAGGAAGCAAGAAGAGTTGAAGGAGAAAAAGAAACAGCAGAGAAAAATGTCCAAAATCAAGGCCACGGAGGGAGGTGTGAATGGTGAAGAACATGAGCTAGAGAATGATAAAGCCACAGAAAAGAATGAAAAAGAAGATGAGGGTGAAGAAAAAAATGAACCAACTGAAAAACTTGAAAATGAGGATGAAAAGGCAAAAGAAGAGGAGGAAGTATCTGATGCTCAAGAGACAAAAGAGGAAGAGAGTTTTGTAGACGATGATGAGGCAGTAGAAGCAGAGTCAGCACAGGTGGAAGAGCCAAATAGTGAGGATAATGAGAAGCCAACTGATAATGCCGATGTTTGAATGTTCCAAAGACGTGTAATTACAGGGTCACCTAGTGGTCAAAATACATTCCATTGTACCTAAACAGTATGCTGTACTTAGTCGAGCGAATGCTGTCTATAAAACCAAAGGGTTGTAATATTATTTTTTTTAAAGTAAGGGGCAGCATTCTAAGCTTCTGTAATGATTTTCTGATTTTTGTAATGTTGTACAAAATAGATTTGTGTTGTTCCCAGTGTTTATACATACCAGTTTTTGATAAACAGTTTTGTATGTATTTTTGTATCAATAAACCTAATTTATGATTCCTAGCTAATATTGACTTTC